TGAAACAAACTTTGTTAATAATGGCTCAGTAAGCCAGCATGCACAATACCAGGACCCTGCTGCTAGCTCACCCACATTGGCATGCAGTCGTTCTTAATGTCACCAATTACACCTGTGCTTTTTCTGATATGACATGTTAAATTGTATGCTAGTAAAAAGGTCTGTTTAGAAAATCTATTTTGAGCGTACTCGCACATGTTTTCTCTTATTCTTGAAAGTTAATAGTGGGGGATCTATGCTGGAAATGACATGGTGTCAACAAACAATGACTACGTTTAGGACAAAATATTCCATTTGTTTGCAAGACGATTAAAAATTAGACTAGTAGTCCTATTTACATGCATCTGTGCGTACTCTGATTAACAGTTTTTTATAATGTTTAAAAATAGTTGTGTTTCTCCCTCCGACCAGAAATGTGGGCTTTTCTTTTGTGCATGCATCTTTCTCCAGCCTTGCAAACTGTTGGTTTGTTTACACACAAACACACAGAGATGACTGTAAACAGGAAAGAGGTCGTGTGTCACAAACTGACGAAAACACTCCAAGTGAGACCCACTGAATGCTCTGTGTACATGTACGGAGAATGCTCTTCAAACCTGAATAATATTATCGAAGTTATTAGTCACAACTGTGCCTTACAAGTCAAAATGCCAGTTGTGGAAAAGGCCTACAAGGTTTAACAAAACTAATAAGTCAGTAGGAGACCTGCCTGCAGAGTGAGCAGAGGTCTAATCAGACAAAATAATTAAAAGCACCTATGTGAATGTGTGAGGGATGTTAATATGCTTTCAGTCAGTTCTTGAAAGAAGGTGATCTGATTTTGTCTATTTTAAGTCCTGACATAATCTTCTGTTCTGTGATGACATAGTTAATGTACCCTTCATATTAGAGTATATACTATATGAATTCAAAATGGTCCCCTAGATATAACATATTAGATGATGTGTCTTAATATCAGGCATATTTAGGAACCATTGTCTGAAAAGCAACTGTTCATTTTGTCAAGAATAGTTTGTAGTTAGCGGAACTTCTGCTCCATTAGGATGCAAATCTTCACCACACTGTAGCATTCTGGGTGATAAAAGTAAGGAAAGATACAGTTTTCATCGGGGGAAATGTTATAATTTTCCACACTTCTCTCCAAGTAGGCCATGTTTACTGTTCCTTAGAAGGGTAAGGTAAACATGGCCTCTCAGAGTTTTTCATGAATTACTGTCTCCCTTAGTTATTTAACTAAAGTGGTTTAATCCATCAAAATGGTAAAAATGACAACTTGGGAAGTGCAGGAGCAAAAATTATCACTATCCTCTCACTGTGAGTGCATCATGTGAACCCCGGGGGAAAGTACTTCTCAAAATATTCTGTTTTTGGTGTTTGAAAACAGCAATTTAACTTGAATGGAAGTCCAAAATGAAAAAAAAAAAACTTGTATTTTAAAGTGCATCTACATTATCAGGGACATGGCCTCAGTGTCTCTGTGCCTCTGCTGCTCTCTCTCTCTCTCTCTCTCTCTCTCTCTCTCTCTGTTGTTGGGTTATTCTGTTCATCCTAAGCAGGCCTGTATGCTGCTTGGGGACCAGCTCATTACAGCGTTTCAGCATTCATTGTCTTGTTACCCTGTTGCAGAGGAGGAATACTTTCAAGCTTCCACAGACTAATGTGCCTTCAGACAAGCAATGTGTATACAAGCATGCCTCAGCAGCAGAAAGAGTACTGAGTAAGAGTAGTGCTGATGCTGTCTACTAATGATGTGCGTGTGTGTGTGTGTGTGTCTCAAGTTAAGTCAGCAACATAAACAAATCGAGTGCTGGCTTCAGGGCTTTAACTTTTCTTAATTACAGTAGTCACATACGGTGTGTGCACATAAATGATTGCCAAGCCACTCAGTAAAGTTAATCTGTAACAAGATGACTTGGCAACAATGTTTTATTATTTACAAGTTATTGTGTATTAAATTATTAAGACAGTATTTCTATTAATTGGCAGGTTCAGTGCCTGTGACATTGAATGATCCCTTTGTGCTTGAATATTCGTGCAATGAAGTCTGATTGTGAGCGACAGAAAGCTCCTAGTAAGGCTTTTTATATGCACTCACAGTGCATACATTTCTAAACAAGCATATGAACATAGAGGACATTATTTGTTCATGCCCTGTATTTCTGCCATTCAGTCCAGCATCAGTTATCAGTTATTGCACTCAAAGACACAGACAGAGAGAAAGAATGAGAAAACACAAGAGATTAAGGGAAAAACAATCAGTCTCCCTGTGTGAGAGAAATAAGTAATGTAACTCTTGTTGCCATCATATTTACATACTGCCTGAACTCCATGAAAACGTTTCTTGTAGTTTTTCTGGAAGTGGAGCTTTATAGTTTTTCTTATCATTTCCCAAATGCTCTTTTAGCCATGCTGGCCCAACTCAACAAATACTCAACCACTATTGGGTGAATTGACATGAATCAATCACAGGAAGCAGTGCATGTTTTTTTCCATGTTACTGTGACAGCCCCTTGATGTAAACTCTTAGTCTTGTTTCCCACATGATGGTATGAATTTTTATCTAGATTTTTTTAGCTCTTATTGTAGCCCAAAAAGATAGCAGGAAAAACGTCATGCTTAACCAAGAAAGCTGTAACTAATGTTACCAAAGTCCAGCAATTTTACAAAGATCAGATTCTTCCTATAATTCTACATTTTCAGTGACCTCCACAGGCAGCCAGCCAGCCAGTGTCTAAATGAAAGTGGCAATTCACATTGCCTGTCTAGTCCAGTACACATACAAATCCTAAATGTGAGCTGATGAAACTTAAATACACTGTCATTGTTAATAACACATGCTTGGAATTGTGGGATATCTCAATTTATGTATATTACAGGAATCTGAAAAACAGACAAAGTTATACTTTAGGTTGACCCAAAAGTGTAGCAAAACATTTTATTCACAATTAATTGCATTGCATTGTAGCTACAGTCAGATGATACTGTCAGGCCTTAAATCGTGAGCTAACTAGTTATCCCGATATTTGCTGTGAGGTAGCTGCTGCGGTGATACTGTGTGGGAGGGATGTCTGGGATATCCCTTGGGAATTTCTTTTTCTGTATTTCCACAAGCTCCACAGCACGTTCTAAATCGAACTTCCTGGAGATTCCTGGTTGCTTCTACACAGGTCTCAGCCCCATTAGTTCATATCACAGCTTGAATAAACTACCAGTGTGTGTGTGTGTGTGTGTGTGTGTGTGTCTGTGTGTCTGTGTGTGTGCATGTGTGCATGTGTGCGTGTGTGGCCACTGAGCCTTAGAAAAGAGATCTAACAAAATTAAAATCTGTCTGAACGTTGTATCCTTTCCTGTTGTTCTTCTCTCTGCATCTTAAATTAGCAGATATTCTCCTCTTCAGTGCAAATAAATAGTTTACTGTTAATTCAACCGAATCTTTCACACCAGACTAAATACAGAAAAGCAGATGCTGTGGCCATAAGAGGAGGACCAATGAAACTGTGCACTCGCAGTTTAAATGTTTTAAATTGAGAATACTTGCACATCTCCCTGTGATTCAGATAACAGGTACAGGTGTGTGTAATGTGAGACTGATGTGTTGTTGCTTTCAGGACCCCATGCAGTGTTGAATGTGTCATTCATCCTTTGATAAAATAGAAAAGAAGCACTTATTTCTGTTTAGCCATTTCACTGCATATAACATCTAAAACATAAATCTTACATCCATCCATCTTATATACCTGTTAGTCCTTTTCAGGATATCAGTGGACTGGAGCAAGGTACATCAGTCAATCACAGGGCAAATGTTGCATTCATGTCATATCAAAGTTACCATAATTACCAGTTTTTTTTTTAGCAATTTACTGGCTTTCATGTCAACATAATTACATTTGAGATTTTTCTGAAAAGCTTTGATGTACACTTAATAATACAGCCTGCCTGAAAAAAACAGATAAGCCAAAATAAAAAATATAAAGTGCTTTATTTTCAATGCATTTATATTTTTACGTTCCATGGAGAGAATGCAGAGTGACACATAAAGACAGGCTGAACTTATTCATGTGCATTTCTTCGGGAAATCAATGTAAAGATGGTGGGAAAATGCAAATATAAACTCCAGACAGGAAGGCCTCTGCCAGCCAGGTCAGGTTGTTCACAGTTTCTGTATTCTTGTTTTTCTGCCTCACTGTCGTCAATGATTTGAGAGCAAAAGCCATGTAGAGCTGAAACAATTAGTCAATTAATAAATAAATAGATTGACAGAAAATGTATTTTTCTATTTTGATAATGATGCAAATCACTTGATCTTTTGCAAAATTGCCAAATTTCACTGGTTCCAACTTCTCAAATGTTTTTTGATTGAGAATTAAGAAAATAATCTGCAGATTAATCGATAATAATGGTTAGTTTTAGCCCTAAAGCCATGCAAGCAAGGTAGAAAATAATTATATTTATGTGCCCAGATAGTGTGTGTGTTTGTTTGTTTGTGTTGATAGAGCAGCAGGAGGGAGAGAGAACAGGATGTGTCCTTACAAGTTCTCTACATAATCAAAGAAACTCGGGTCCTCCACAGCCGTGTTTGTCACTCATCCTGTGCCTTTAATGAACAGCTCATTAGACGGAAACCTCATTAGCTGTCTGACGACAGGGAGCAAATGATCCAGAGATGAGGACAGGAATTTGTTGTGTCTTTCACATTGAAGGTAGAAAGGCGGGGGGGAACATTCAAGGATGCACCTTCGGTCTCAGCATGCTTGGAGTAAACATACTCATCTTAATAACAGCATCCCTATAAACATAATCCTCCACGAAAAAATGTTCCTAACCTAAATAAGACCCTACAAAAAAAAGATGTAGTTGCTGGACTAATGTGTTTTTAAAGCTGCCCCATTTTCGTGTGTGCACAAACCAAAAATATTTTCTATTTGAATGCATAATAAGTGGACACATAGCAGAAAATACTGCAGCTTAATAACATGATAACCTCTCTCTCCCCTTCACAGATCTGTGACAAGGAATGGCACTATTATGTGATCAATGTGGAATTTCCTGCAGTGACACTCTTCGTGGATGGTGTGACTTATGAACCCTACCTGGTGACAGATGACTGGCCGATCCACACCTCGAAGATTGATACACAGTTAACTGTGGGTGCCTGCTGGCAAGGTCAGTGTGTGTGTGTGTGTGTGTGTGCGTGTGTGTGTGTAGGTATCTAAAAATATATAATAGCTTTAGAGTAATGCATAAATGTGTGCAAGTCATTAAAGAAGCTGAAATCAGACAGGAATGGAGTGCTATTACACTGTGTTGTTGGGATTGTTTACTGCTATACTATAATCTGACAGTTGTTTTATGTGCAGCAGCGTTTTCAGCTTCAGGTTCTGGCTTTTATTTGCTCCCCGTAAAATGAAGAAATCAGTTATTTATTGCTCTATTTCCACCAAAAGGGGCCTTATCAGTGCAGGAGAAACATTTATTCTTCATGACTTCATTAGGAAGCACAGTTGTTTTTCTGTTACGTAATTGATTTATCACTGCATATTGATGGTTACAACTGCTTTAGTATTGTAAAAGCTTGTTGTGAAATAAACAAAGAGGTAAAAAAAAAAGAGAGAGATTAAAAAAAACACCAAAACACTTGTGGCTTTACAAGGACACTCTGTGTTCTTCTTTCCTTTAATTTGTCACCCATATGTAATGTATACCGTATATATGCACACCTCAAGGTAATTAATCTACTTTTTTACAGCAGACCTAATTATTTCATTAGGTCAGTACAGAGTACCGATCTGATATGTGTATTTAAAAAAATATATTATTATTTTTTAACAAGCATTGACTACTAAGCCTCTATGATTGCTATCACTCTTGAATCCATGTATCATTCATTCTTTGGTTTTTCCATTTCAAAACTGTTTTTGAGACTGTTTTTATGTTTTTCTATAAAAGAAATTCCCTTTTCCTGTTTTAAAACCGAAACATAGTATTATTTTGTTTGTGTTGCTCTTCACCGGGTGTCTGAAGGGATGCCTTACCCTGACCCCTACTCCTCCACACACACCAAGCACTTCTGCTTCGTTCTCTGGACCTGGACTGGCACTTGCCGGCGGCATCACTGGACGGTCAGCCCTCCACCCTGCCACCACTGAAACCAAGTAGTCCTCACTGCATTTAACGTTTTTCCAAGCACAGTATGTGTGGAAGGGCAACTCGGTGGCAGCCCTCCCTGCGGACACCAGACATGTCTCTGCTAATGTCTGCATAGCCCAGAGACATTTTGGCAGCAAAGACCAGTTCCAGGAAGAGTGACCCTGAGCAGCAGCACAATCACACTGACAGCCGAAGGGGTCAATGTGATTACTTGGGAAACTATAGCTCACAATCTGCTATATCAGCGCCACTGTTGGCTGTTTCTTTTACAAACCAACCTGAAGAAGAACACAGACACAACCAGAGCTACACATAATACAGCCACTAAGCTTGACTCAAACTGTTGTCTCATTGTCTGCAACTCATTGTCCTTCAGGATTAACGTCCCATTTACCACGCATTTCATTGAAAGGTTTTAATGGAAATTCAAGAAGTTTTGATGTTAAGGATGGATGGATTGATGTGGATCTGGAAGAAGGTGTCACCTCTTAGGTTGTGTTGAAGGTTGGGCAGTGGGAGACTCAGTGTGGGGCTTCCGTCTCTGGTGTGTTTTCCACCCGAGCTGCTTACAGGCCCCTAGACAGTACCTAGGATGAGATGTGGAAGAGGTATGCGCCTGATTGAATAGGAAGGGATCAAGTGAGAGAGGATGAATGGATGTGGGTAGGAATGAGCTGAATGGATGAAGGGAAGGGAGGGTGGGTCGAGAGAAATGAGGCCAACAGGGCAGTAGGGGGTTGACCAGGTATAAGTAGCTTGTCAGGTGATTATAAGTGTGTTTGAGACGTGGCCCTGCTCCCGAATCTAAGTTAATTAAACTTCATTTACTGAACATTGATCAAATTAAGGGCCCCATGTCGCTTTTTTCCAAGCTACAGCAGCTGATATACCGTCAAGGCTTTCATCATACGGTAGTGTTTCATCTAAACCTGGCTGGAAAAATCACCCTCCGCAGGTGCTGTTCACTGTCAACTGGGGGTTAGACTGGCCAGAGTCAACACTGACAGGTATCAGTGGTGTCAGGTCCGGATCCGCTCGTGTATGTGTGCAGGGGCAGCCCACCCTTCCTGCGGACACCTGGAGAAGAGCAGCAAAAACAAATTATCACAAAAACAGAACAAATTTATTTTTCTGTTTGTTGATTTATTTCACTTTGCTTAACACAGAAAAACATTTTGTTTGTTTGCTTTCCATTTTTTCCGTCCCCTCCTAAAACAGAAAAACAAAAAGACAATCCTGTTTTTTGGCTTTTCCAATTCAGTTTAGAAACAGAAGAACCAGTGGACGAATGATTTGTGTATGACATATTTAGTATTTTGATCAGAAAAATAATTACTTGGAACAGAAACAGAACTGAGAACAAATCAGGCAATTAATCTATACTTAATTAAAGTTAAGTTTGATGAAATAGAATTTCACAGTTTGTTTTTTTTTCTTTGCAAAGGACAAAAATACCTGGAAATGGATGGCAGCATATGGCAAACAGAGAAAGTGTGTCAACAACAGCAGCCAAATATTACAGTTGAAGCACAGAGTGAGAAAGCAGCAGTCTTACTGTTAAGATAAATAAAGAGATTAAGATTTATGCCTCTGGGCTGTGAGTTTTACTTCTTTGAAATGGAGAGGAACTAGCCGAGTGGGTATCAAACAAGAAATTCTGCGTGTCAGTTTCAGCGGCAGGGAACGAGAGAGGGTAGTGATCACTCTGGAATGGATAAGAGCTACCCTGCTGCCCTGTTTATGACTTGAATAATTATACAAAAGTGCTTGACAGGAGGGTAAAATAAGACAGTAGTGGTACAGCTTGCCTAAATCATGCTCATAACACTTACAAGCACCATCCAAAGCTTCAATCCTGATGGCATTTTGGTTGCCGTTTAAATTTCTTTTCATCCTGTGCCTGATTGCAATTTTCTTTTTGTCGTCATCATTTTCTTCCTTTCTTCATACAGCCCTCTCTTTCTGCCTCTTTCCATGAATCTCTGATTGTGAGAGAAAGCCCTGAAGGAAGGATTAGCTAGAGTGAATGGAGGACAACTTTGCCAGCTATTACATCCCAATGAAGCCGCTTTAAGCTTCACTAAGCCGCAACTGATAACTTTGCAGGCCATTAGCGAGCAAGATTGCCTTTCAGCCTCTCATTCCTTCATCCCCTTTCCCCTACAATCAACAACATAATGATGAGACATGTGGAATGAAAGACATTCAGACTGTATTTTCACTGCCCTGAAAGCATAAGCGAAGTTGTGTGTTCTCGCCATACAAGGTTAACAACAGAATGCTTTGGTTGTTGTTGGAGGTTTTCTGTAGCAATAAGCTGTTTTTTAGTTTGGCTGTGAAATGTGTGTTTGCCATCTCATTTCATGTGCAGCAGGAAAGTGGGTGTGCAATTTCAAAGCAACCCTAACAGTACAGTATACAAATACTTAACCAACGCAGCACAGTGTAGGCAACAAGAGCCTGGGGTAATTTTATGTCTATAATGAAAGGCATCAGTCAACATATACCATCAGTCAATTTTAGGTAATTTGCAGCTGAAGTAGAAGCACAGTGAATTGGGGAAAATGCAGTCACATTTAATATCCCAGTGCTTTGCTACAAGCATAAACAATATTTGCTTTCAAATTGAAAGCAATCCACAAAACCTTTCTCATTTTGTCTCGTGAACACCAACTACCTGCTTACTACATTAACTAATAATATTAATTATGGCTCTGTTCCATTAAGGTGCCCCAGTAATACCATTAAGCTAGCATGTCCAATAGAGCCAAGAATTGGAACACCTAAATTAATGCAGAATTTTTCAATGTTACAGGGAACACTTGTGTAAGAGCCATTTTCTGAAATATCTCAAACCTATACGGATGTACTGAATTAAACTGATGTATTAAAAATAATCATATATCACTCTGGACCTCACACTGTATCTGAATGTCTGTAGCTGAAAGTAAGAAAATAGCAAGGTGAAACTCCTGTCTGTACATCCTTTAGCCATCCTTTACAGAGACAGAATATTTTTTACCAATACATTTATGCAACATGCGACATTTCCTCTTCCTCTTCTTCTGTCCGTACATTCATTTCTCTCTTTTATGAATCTATAAAAACATATATGCACGTCTAGACAGGCAATCAGTATGCAGTGATTGAATCAAAAAGGCATTGCTTTGATAAAAACCTTTCAACAATGCATTTGTCAGAGAGATAAGGAAAGAGACTAAAAGAGCAGAATAAAGAAGAATATTTTTACATTTCGAGAGAAAGGGAGGTAATGGACGCTGATTGGGATAATTCCTCACTCCGTTCCTACTTTCATAAACACACTGTTTACCCTGTCTGTTCCGAATGCATGGGCAAGTATAAAGAATAAGTATAATGATAAAGATTATATTCTTAGTTCTTGCAGTTTGTAGGTGTGCCAGAGCATACAATGTCTGATGGGCACAGAGGAAGTGAAAAAAAAACACAAGTTGAATTGTTTTAAATAAAAACAAAGATCTTTCTAATCAATTTTAGTTATTTTATGTTTGCAAGTTTGTAAATACAGAAATAATACAGAAGTACAGAGTTGGAGTGACTGTGCCTGAGTTTCTTTGCCACTGTTCCTACAGATTCCTCAGCCTGCTCTCATTCCCAGGTTGCTCTCATTCCCAGGTTGTCAAATACAGACACTAGCAGTGTTCAGTTAGTTGCAGTGTGCAACCTCAACCCTAGAGAAATAATTTCTACTGGTTTGTGGTTTGTTGTAGTGTTGTTTATGCTGTTGGTCCTAATCTTGGTTCTTGGTACACATTTTAAAAAAATTTGCACCTTTTGTTTATCAGCATCATCAGTGTCCACCCACCAACATATGACAAAGGGGACTGGTGCTTTGATTAAAAGGATAAGATCAAATCTGTAATCTGTATCAAAAACAACATTTAAGTTACTTAATAATTAACATGTTAATATTGTGGCATAGACAGACTCCGTAAAATGTGCAGTATAAGTCTCCCGTTGCCTGGCATGCTGAAGGCAGTTTTTTGGTGTCTCTGTGACAGGAACTTCTCTCACAGCTCTGCATGTATATACTCCTGTGTGATTCACATTGACAGAGCTGAGAGAGTAGATGCCTCCAGCCCCATGCTGGCTGGCTGGTAGCTGCTGTTCAGAATAATATCTGCTTCTGCTGTCTATCGTTCCCCTGAGCCTCGCTGTACAGAACAGTTAAGTACAGGGAGAACATCCAGTCTGCGTTACAGTGAGTGGACTAGTAACTTAAACAATTATTTAGTCAACATTACGGCACATTCAAGAGCTGACAGCAGGGACTCCTTTAAATATGTTAGCAATTTAATAACAAACACTATTCTGGTCCTCTGGTATTTAATAATACAGTTCTTAATGTAAAAGAGAGATATTTGTCCATTTTATTTTATGTTTATGCTTCATTTGATCATTATGAATCAATACCAATAATCTTGTTAAGAGGTCAAATATTTAAGTCAACAGAAATGCATCTTAGATCTGCCTAAATAAATGTGTAGACATGGCTACTTTCCAGGAGCTCATATTCTGCCTATGTAGCCATTTGTATTTGCCATTGACTGCTACAGTATATAGTAGAAATATATAAATATAGGCTGAGACACATTAAATTCTGGGGTTATTTGCATTAAAGAGAGCTGACCTGAATGTCACCTGTAGCTAGAGAATGTATGAGCCATAGCTGAGATAAAAGACACCCTGGAAGTTTTTTGTGTCAAAAAGACTGGACCTATATGATCTGGTGGAAATGACACACTTCATCAGAGGTGGTGACATTGTACCACAGGCCAGAGCACAGGAAAACCTGGTGCTATGTATAAAAAAAGTACACTCTTAAGAAGATGTCAGGGCTTGACTGAATTTGTGATGGAGCTGACCCCACAGACTGCAGTGCTGCGATACCACAGACTGTGCCAATGTTTTGGCTTGCACTAGAGCTTCCATTTATTTTGCATGAAAGGATGTATTTCCCACTCCCTCCAGTCTCTGTGGCAGCTGCAGAACATTTTAGGTCAAGCACACATTAAATCTGCCAAAATCAAATTCAATGGATAAACCTGACAGGAAGTGTCGAAATATATGCAGTTCTGCCAGGTGTTACAAGTATATCATGTAATATTTGGTTTGAGTATTGCAGACCAACTTATATTTGTGTGCAGTGCCACCTCAGGTAGCATTTTGTCTTCATTCAACAATATTACACAGTTGTTTCCACCTGCTTCCACAACAATTTAGAGTGGATGAAATACATCTCAAAATACAGAGATGCGATTATGAGCATCTCCTGCATGGTAACACTTTTTTTTTTAAGCCATCTGTACCAAGCAGTTTGAACGTTCCCATCCTAAAATTTGAAAATTTACATTAGACATGTGGAAAAACTGTAAAAACACAATGTCAGTGTGAATGTGATTCAATTACATTTATTTTCTCTCTGAAACAGTGTCAGAGTTGTTTCACACACTTCTTTTTTTACCTCTACTGTGAACTTCAGGAAAAATAACTTTCTAAATTCTTCATAGCTTGCTCTCCACTGGGTCTTGTAAGCTTTTTCAGAAGCAGATTCACAGATGTTATTTTCAGCAAACTATGTGTACTTTTCCCTTTGGAAACATACGTAATGCATGTTGTTGTCTCTATAACTCTGCAAAGGCTCAGTAAAAACAGGTTTGAACCCAAAGGCACGATTCTCAGACCAGTCCGGTAAAATAAAAAGTTAAAGTTTACTTGAGGTTGAAAAACAAGCAGAAGTCAAAATCAGAAAGGCAGGGCAGATGAGGCAAACCTATCCAACTGAAGATCAGGCTAGAGAGCAGGAGTCCAAAAGGCAGGCGGGGGCCAAGCAAAGAAAATTGCTGGAACACAAAGGCAGAACCACAAAAGAAGACCTGACGGGGACTAAATGGTGCTGAGCTGAAGTGCAGGTGGGCATGGGACGTCGGGTGATGGGGAATGGCAGGAACACTGGGGTCACTGCAGGGTAGGTGAGAGTGGTGGGACATGGCAGGGGGGAAAGCAGACAAGGAAAATGTGAGACTGGGAACTGGCTGACATCGTGACAATGGTCCTGTTTTGACCCATTTCTAACTTCTTCTCTCCTCTTTTCCACGTCTGCCCTTAACTGTCCCATATCTCACTTCTCCACTTTTCCTGCCTGTGATTCTCTTGTCTCCTCTCCCATAAGGTGGTGAGGTCGCGACCCCCAGGTTCACCCAGTATTTCCATGGCAGCCTTTCAGGTCTGACAATCCGACCAGGCCGCATTGAAACACAAAAGGTTATCTCCTGTTTGCAGGCCTGCAAAGAAGGCCTTGATATTAACTCCCTTGAAAGCCTCGCTAAGGACATCAAGGTGCGTGGGAAAAAAATGGAGGCAGTGTTTTCAATACACAACATACACACACACACACACACACACACACATACACAGACCCCACACTTTCAGCCTTTGGTTGGTAGTACAGCAACTGTTTACCACTTTAACAGTACTAGACACTGTTCAGGATTCATGCGTCACTTTCGTCTAAAAGTATAATTTGCTAAGATGCTATTCCATATCACACTTTGATATTAAAGATGGTTTAGTAAAACGGTTACAACATACACACAGTTGTTTGAATCTGGATCTCTGGGAGTTTTTCTGAGGACAAATAATGTTTGTTTGTGTATCCAGTTCCATTTTAATCCCGCCCAGTCTGTGCTGGTGGTGGAAGGAGAGGATGTGGACAGCATCAACACGGCCATGACCAAGGTTTCCTACATTAACTCTCGCCAGTTCCCCACGCCAGGCCTCCGGCGGCTACACATCACTACCACAGTACAGTAAGTGCACATATGCTTGGATGTATTTTCACTTCACGCTTTGACTGTTTTAACATCCAGCTTTACATTCAACCTAGAGTACATCTCAAACGTTTCTCTTTGCTGTTTACCACCCTCACATATTGGCAGTGATCACAAAGGAAACATTTTGCAGATATTCTGTTTGAGGGAACTACCCATTTGTGGAATAAAGTGTGAAGTCTATAACTATTTGTAGAGCACTAATGTGAAATGATGCGTAAAACATAAAACAAGTTGGTCAACTTAAATCCAATAGATGGTCACATAAGCCACAAACAGCCAAAGGAGTGGTGGTTAAAGCATTAAAGAAATGCTCTGTTGTGTCTGTCTTTGTCTTTAAGCCACAGAACTCCCAGTGAGATGGCAAAGTATGGATCATTAGTGTGAAAACTATTAAACCACTAAACAGACCAGCTGGCCATTAAGGACATTAAGCCTTCTGGTGAATGGAAAGACCATCTTGCTAGCGCCTATCTTTCCCTGCTTTTTTCTGTCTTTTCTGTTTCTGGAGTGTCTTTCTGTGTGTCCCTCTCTGGATGTAATTTGATTTGAATTGCATTTGTCCACTTTGCCCAATAGCCACAGAGCCCATGGACGGGGGATGTCAGTCAATTTGTTTGTCCAACAATTGTCAAAATACCTTGACTGCCAGCCACATTATTAAGAAATCAAATTGGTCCACAACAACTGGCTGGATTTCCTTGATAGTTGCTATGGATATTCAAATGATTAATACTAATCTTTTTGATGACACCCCTGACATTTTCTTTGATGCTTGCTTTCCATCAGGCCAAAATCTACATTTACAGACAGAAATATGAAAATGTATTAAACAGGTAACAAATGAATCATGTATTAATGCTCCTGCTGGAATACCTGGATTTATTTCTTATCATTGCATTATCACTTTGTAGTATTTTGATAGTATTATGAGCTTTTATTTTATGTAATTGATTGATTGATTGATTGATTTTGTATTTCAGAGGTTTATCTGTGTACCACAAGAGGCAGCTTGCGTACCACCGGTGTTGTAGTACCATAGTCTGAGAACCAGTGTACTTGCTAATACCGTAAATAAATTCCTGGATTCCTGGATTTCTTCTACAGGTCTCATAGTTGACCGGGACCTTCTCAAAGCACTGAACTGCATCACATTGATCGTTACATACTTGACTGCATCTGTGTGTTTTCTCCTGCTCCTCGTCAGGCAACTCGTGTGCCTGTGTGTTTGAGTTTGTGTGTTTAGTTGTATGCCGCATGTGAGTGCTTGTCCTGCGTCTCGCAGCATATACTTTATCTGTCTGCTCCACACCCATCTAGCGCCTGTTCATTTGTTGAGCAGCAAACGTAGGCCGGTCAAATCAGCTTAGAAGTGCTGGTCGATAAAGTGAAGCAAGCTCGAGGAGCAGCAATAGAGGCCGTTTAACTCTGAACAACACTTCACAGCTCCCCTCGAGATAAAGACATATATACGCCTTTACACCCAGCAGATATGTTGAGTGTGTGACTGCAGCAAAGACGATAATATGTAGTCCCATTAGACTTTAGGTGAGGCTTCACTTTATTGCAACATTTAATTTTTTAAACTTAACAGCGTAACTTGGCTGTCTGTGGTGGTTAATATTAGTCTCCAGTGGTAGGAATGCTTCGGGTTAAATTGGACCATTCTGACTATAGTTACGTAAAGTAAAGTTAAAGATTCCCTCCAGACATGTATTAAGACATATACAGCAACAATAATAATAATGTAAAAAAAAAAAAATATCCCCATTCTTTAATGCATTATTCAGAATGAATGGATGTGAAAACCAAATAATTGTGAATAAAACAAGACAGTCAGTTGTGGCTCTAAATATATGGCTGTATATGTCATCCACTAATCAGAAGGTTGGCAGTTCGATCCCTAGCTCCTGCTGTGTGTAAGTGAGTGTGTGTGAACAAGTGCACAGCACTTTGAGTGGTTGAAACACTAGAAAGGCACTATATAAGTGCAGGCCATTTACCATTATATATATATTTAGTAATAATAATAATGATAATATAAGATGATTACAGGCTCCATTTCTCATTTGCAACTGATTTTCTGATCATTACATGGAGCATAAAAGGAAAACTGGTAAGACTGAAATATCCATGAATGTTTCCAAGCATTTAGTTAGTTCTGGGATTCAACAAACCTTAGAAGTGGTAATCAGTCATCATCCCTGCCTGGAAAATGAACAAACCACGTCATGCAAGTCCCTGAAAATGTATTTTCTCTATCAGAGAAGAGTGACTGGGTCCTACATGAGCATGCTATTTTCTGCCAGTTAAAAGTTAAAATCCATTTTATTATATTAAATTTCATATATGTATATTTGTGTTTTTATTCTTGCTCTTCTTACAGGTTTGAAGTGGGCACCAACCAGGACTGAGTAACATTTGAATCAAAATCTGGTTGTTTTCTCATGTTGCCAGACCACTGTCAATCCCAGTCCTGATAAAGCTGTTTAATTTTTCTAGTGTTGCACTCCCTAACAAAAAATAGCTAGTGTTTTTTTCAGACTTTAACTTTGAATGTTGCTTATTTTGTTATCAATATTTAATCATAAATAAAGTGTTCAGGGGATTCAACACATATTTTCTCGCCATCCACGTTCTCGCTAACATAAAGGGTATTTTATGATCATTCTTTGTGACAACTACATGGAAACGCCAACAGTCACAAATACAGTTAAATCCAGACAAATCAGCAGTGAAGCATTAACACTGGTGCTGTCCTGTCCTATAACCTCTCCCTCCTGTCTTCTTCTGTGTGTGCGTGTGTCAGGTGTTTCGGGGAGGACACGTGTCTTTTCATCCCAGACATCAAGGCGGTAGTGATGGTCCTGCCGCCTAGTGAACCGAGAATCACCATTACAGGATCTAATCGACTCGTCAGGCCTGCTGGTGACCTGCGGGGCCCGCTGGGTGTGGCACCCTTCAAAGAGCTTCACATCACCAGCACAGTGATGAAGGGAGACAGCTTCGGTGGATGTGAGTGGAGAGGCTGCCTGTGTTGTTAGGATGCTTTGACGTCATGAGACTACCTTTCGGGGATGTTTCAGTCGGTGTGACAGAAAATGTGTTCTTTTAGATTCTTGTGAATGGTATTTTGGGTAATTGGTATTTTATTTTTCTGTGAAGGCAAACTTATTTGCCTGTATGTGCACTGGATATTTAGCATTTAGCATTTTAAATCTAAAATATTCTTCTGTAATTTGGTATACAGCCCGTAGACCAGGTGTGATGGAGGTGATGCATAACCTGGACTACTGTGATGTGCTGGTAATTGGGGAAGAACTGAATCCTGAGAGAGAGAGTCTGGAGATTCATCACAGTGCTTTGTTGGGAAAACATCTCGATGCCACCAACTCCACCTCTGGAATATCAATATATGGTAGGTTGGACTAACCCTTTGGTAAGAACAGCACCACCTTTCGACCTTAAAATTTTTAAAAATGTCTTGCCCTTTATACAGCAGTAAGATGAACATTCACTTTCTATACAGTAAGACAGCTGTAAAGGTCTCTGAAATAGACTCCTGTCGTGATATATTACAAACTGACAGTGCACAGTGCTGCATGATATATTTTAAACTGTGGTATAACATGTGTTTGCTGTGTGTTACAAGGTGTGGACTCCATGGCTCACTATGAGCAGGCACTGAGACAGGTGCGCTACAGGAACTGGCGACCTGCCACCCTGAGTGAGAGAAGATTCAGACTCACTTGCTCTGAACTCAACGGACGTTACACCAGCAATGAGTTTAATTTAGAGGTCAGTTTGATGTCTTTAGATCGTCGTGTTTCAACTCCTTTTCACTCACTTCTCACATCCTGCACTGTTTATCTAGTCCCTGTCATCTGTGCTCATTTTTCCCCATCTGCTTTTATCTTTTAAACTTGTTATCAATAATGTTCAATCTCTGGAAAAGGAAATGAGCGGTTGCTCTGTACAGTCAACCGTAGATCAAAAATGTCTTGGGTGCTCTCGGAAAATGGGGGAAATAAACAAGATAAACTGAAAGGCAATCCAGGCACTCCAAAATATGAGAAAAAAATAACAACAAAGGGAAGAAGGAAATATTAAAAGCTTTTATTGTAGTGACTAAATCATTATGTTCCAACCACTGTACATCTTCATCAGAGCTTTAAAACGTTTTACAAAGATTGCCTTCCAGTTTATATTGATCAGTCTTACCCATGCTCCAATGTCTTGAATTGTCTTTTTATTTTCTCATTTTTCTTTATTTTTATGGTTGCACAAATTATCATCCACCATCTTTTTCCTGAGGATAATGATGTTGGTCCTGCCTCTGTAGGTCAGTGTTCTTCACCACTCAGCACCTGTGGAACACGTCAATCACATGGCTGCCCAGCCTCAGTACATGAGACCCGTCCATCACCCACTCATGATACACACTCTCAACTCACACATGTCAGGTAAGCCACAAATGTCATTGAAATGTATTCTGATGTAAAAATGGGGCAGAACAATGTTTTAACTGGTTGGTCATGGAGCTGTTTCATATAAGCAGTTTAGACAAGATGTAAAGAGAGGAATTTTTATTTAAGGCTAAGATTGAAGATTAAACATTACACACAGAAGGGAGACAGGGTATCATAAAGGCATTTAGCTTAAAGCCAATGTATGTGTAAATAGACATGGGTCCCCTTTACTAGCCAGGTAGGGCTGCACCTTTTGGACAAATAAACACAGGTTTCAATTAGATTGCTTCTTTAAATGTATGAAACCTCGTAAAGCCCACCGTCTTGTCTGCTTGACCGAATTCTAAGATGCTTAGATCACCTACATAAATATAACATCAGTTAGACTCCCAACAATTCAATTGTTTAGTTCCTTTTACGGAAACAATGAGCACCAAAGTATTAAATGATCAAATTAATGATTAGTTACTGATTTGTTATTTAATAGCTTAATTTTTATACAAATAATATTTATACTGGATTAAAGCTGGAGAGAGTAAGTTTGCTTAACTAACTAAGCTTTCTAGCACTCCTAATGGCTTTTGCAAGAATCAACCAGGCCTTGACAAAAACAAGCAACCAGAGCCTGCAACTTTAAATAAAACAACAATATAATATCATATAATGCAATATTTTGGCTCTCTACTTCTCCTCAAGGACCAGCACCTCCAGCAGCCACAGTAGTTATTGTGGTTTGTATCGCCGCCCTGGTGGTGATTGTGGTCATCGGCGTGTACAGGATCCATGCAACACATCAGGATGGGTTCAGAGAAGACGAGGATGGAGGCAAAGACCCTGAAGAAGAATGGGACAACTCTGCACTCACCATTACTGTCAACCCCATGGAGGTTGGATGGCATTTTCATTTAAATTCTGGGTTGTTTTATTCCCTCAGTATCAAAAAACTAGAGGGGCTGACTGGAGGATAGACGATTATTTATCTTCCACATAGTTCAACTGCATTTGTTGCCTCTGTAAACCAGATTTGGGATCCGTGGTTCACTAAATCATGTTTTGTTTTCTAGAACGTAAAAGGAGCTCAGGCGCTTGATGAAGAGGTAAAAGAAGAAGAACGTGAGGAGGAGGAAGAAGAAGAAGAAGATGAGGAACAGGTGGGAGGAATGACAAGTGCTGAGTCAGACAACAGCGATGAAGACGAAGAGGAGGAAGAAGAAGACGAAAGAGAAGAGATGAAAGAGAGGAAGCAGAAGGGAAAACTAGAGTGGGACAGTTCCTCCATAACATACTGACACACACATTAACATATAATGGCACATGCAAACACATGTTCATCTCTATCTCTCTATCAAACACACACACACACACACACACACACACACACACACACGTTATCCTTTGTTCTCACTACACAAACACACACAGAAACAAAATCTCTGATAAAATTATTTACAATCTGTTGCTGGAAAAAATACTTTTAATCTTCCCATGTTGTCATCTTTAATGAAACATATCCCTCTGCTGGACAAAGTCAGAACTACAGAGTCAGCTGCAGTCCCACAGTGCTATACAACATTATCTGTATGTACATTATTATTCACATCACAGCCAATGAAGCAAAATATATGATGAATATCAAAAAAGCACAGTCTTCTCATTATGTGTGCACAATTAGCTGAAGTTTCGCTGATAAAACTGAATCCAAACTCAAACACAAGCAGCAAAGATACGTGAGATCTGAAATATAGTGACACAAATTCTCTCAATTTCTTACATTAGCAAAGATAATTTAAGACATTTAACATTTGCGATTACATATGTCCTCAGATTATATTTCTATTGTTCATTTTTAAAACTGGTTGTCTGCCATATGATGGGTTATTAACAGATTTAGCATCACAATGTATCCATATACATATCCATTAATGTATCCGTAAACTTTCAATATAGTTCCTTTGACCTATATAGTAATAACATAGCTGTGCTGTCACTAAGTGTATATCCTCTCATCTTTAACTCAAACCAGACCCTGTAAAGCCTGTGTGATGAGTGCATCATAGTGCTGTGGTTCTGTGGCCTGGAGAAACCTGATCCTGGATATGTTATCTCTTACCATAAACATTACATATGTGTCCTGATTCATATTCAAAGCAGAACTATTAACTGTTTAATGTATTTCTCAAGAGTATTTTAAAATGATCACTGTTCCATCAGCTTATGAGCTAATGGGAAAAGCTGATTGTGGTTCAAATACGGTAAAATACTCTTCTTTTTTTTAAGCCTGTTTGTTTGCATCTGTCTTTCTACCAAATCTACCCATACTGTGGCCTATTGTAGCCTTTGCTGTTTAGAGTTAGTCAGTTAATCAGTTATCTTTCTTTTTACAGCAGATGGAATGATACAGAGATGTTCCTGTATGCTACTGATATATCTTTCCTTTGTGTTTAATTCCATAGTAAAGAGAGCCCTCTATGCAATTATGGGCCCAGTATCAAAGACCAGTACAAACCGGGGTACACCAGCGATACGGTATTGCACATCCATAATGTTTAGAAACAGATTTTAAAAAGGGTCAAAATTGCAACAGATGCAGAGATGTTCTGACTATAGTGCCTAGTAAAGGTTAATCTCCAAAACACTGGATTCTACACTTCCCACAATGCAACTCAGTAGCATTTCTTTTTAGACCTGCCTGGCAAATGCCCAGGGGCTGTTTTCACAAATGTATCGTTTGCATAAAGCTAGTTCTTGATTATTAATTCGCTATGAGTTCTGGCTCAGCTCTGTTCACTCCAGCATAAAATGCTTGCGTTCAACAGATACAATGACATTGTACTGGCAAGATTCAACGAAGAGTCTAACGGGAACTTCCAGTTGCATAAAATCTCCACACAGTGCAGACCTGTAGCTGAGACGCTGTGCTTTCTTACGGTGGCAGGGTTCAGTATTTCTGCTAACTTGTTAATCAGACTCAGGATAGTTTCACTGGGCAAACAGAAACGACTGACGATTTCCTCACTGCTGTGTATTTCCAACAGGTTACTGCGCTCTCTAAAAACTCTTTCCCTTCTCATTACTCGCTCCACAATGTCGTCAGCAAACCAATAATTACGAGCCGTCACTTGGTGCCGCTGATTAGCAGTGTTCACTGATTGTTACCATGGAAACGTGCCTCTTAGTTCGGAGTTAGCCTGGGGATAACTGGCTTTTTAGGATAAAATAAGTCTTTATTCTTTTGAAACTGTCTTTGTGGCATTAGACTAATCCGAGAGCAGAGTTGAGACTGGCCTAACACTACAGACTAGTCTAAAATATCTGAGAAACTGACCCCCAGGTCTTTTAAACTCAACACCTGCTGTTCCAGTCTGTAATGCAGGTTTTCTGTTAAAGGTCCGCTGTGTAACATTTTAGAGGATCCATTGGCAGAAATAGTCATAGGTATATTTTCATTAGTGTATAATCAGCTGAATATAGGAGTCATTGTGTCTTTGTTACCTTAGAATGAGCCGTTTATGTCTACAGATGCCCTGGGTCGCCTACCATGGAGTCCACCGCATTGAACCGCCATGTTTCTACAGTAGCCCAGAACGGCAAACCAGACACTGGCTTTAGATAGGGCCTAGAGAGCCTACCGTGGAGTGAGTTTGTACTGTTTATATTAACCGCGTACATATTAATATGTATTACAAGTTGCGTCTCTAGTTATATATATATTTTAAATAGATATATATTAATATAGATAGCTCAATATAGAAGTTATTATATTATAGTATTATAATTATATAGTTAACTATTATATAGTATATGATTAATGCCATATATATATATAGTATATAGTATAGTTATACGAGTAATGATATATGTATATATTATATATAATTAAAACCGTTGACTGACTCATGCTCCTTTTGATGAGTAAGCGTTAAATTGGTGGAGTGCCCCTTTAAAGTCAGGCGAAGACCCACAGAGCTAAATGCTGGAGAAAAGAAGCAGAGTGATTGTTTATTTTACTGGTGTTATCAAGTCGGCACAACTTCACCACAAGTAGAAGAAGAAGTGAAAACTACATTGATATTAATTCCATTTTGTACCTTCGTTATTGTAGATTAAGTAAACTAAACAAAATGTAAGTCCATGAGTTTGTCTACACTCAAACGATCTAACAGTAAATCCATTCCTGTTTCTACTCAGAGAAATCACCTCTCACCTGTTCATATCCAGACAGTATCAGTGATTATTACTCCCTCTGAGCTCTTGAACTGATATGTCTTCTGTTCACCTTCCCCTCCCTCTGTTGGCCTTTAAGCACCTGTGATTGTGATGTCATCATTGTGAAACAACTGCCTTGTTTCCCTCGTCTCCCTTTGTCATATTGTGCTTCTGAAAGATTAAAGAGAAAAAGATTCTTTTACATATAAAAACAAATCCTGTAAAAATGTTCAAGACAGTTATTTTATATATCCGTTTCTTTTTCTTTTTGTAAACAAAATGGTTGGGATTTCTCTCTCTTTAGTGGTCATCCCACTGCTTTCTGTATATTGACCAATAAAGACTTGTTTTAGACTCTACACAGCCCTGCTTGTTGTTTGTGCACTAAACATCTGATGTGTGTGCGTGTGTGTATGTGTGTGTGTGTGTGTGTGTGTTGGCAAACTGAGAGACTTGCATAACTAATAAGCCGTCATTGTAGATGTTCAGCTGCCTGAATTCATCACATGTTGGAGGAAGCTGATTGGGTGTTACAAAGAGAGAGAGGGGTTTCTACTACAGCATGTGAGGAATGTATATTCAAAGACACGTTGTATGCCACAGCAACTGTTTCAGCACAAAGAAAGGAAGTGTACGTTTTAAATACACAGTGAGAACATAATTCACACAAGACTGAAGTGTAAAAACAATTAGTGGTTTTATCGGGGAGGGGGTTGTGCTGGATTACTTCTTGGCCAGGTCTGGAGTCGTGTCGTTGTGTGAGGTTGCTAGGCAACCAGCGGAGACTCCAGGAAGTAATTGCTCATCACATAACCCCCCATAAAACATACATTGTAGTTTTTACACTTTACAGTATTGCTTTCAAATTAAACAAATAATAAATTAAAACTAAAATTAGACTAATAAATGACCTATAGAGTTTGGACGGAGCTCTGTTTCCAGTTTTTGTGCTAAGCCAAGCGAACCATCTGCTGGCTGTAGCCTCATAGTTATTATGGATCTTCTCATGTGACTGTCAGCAAGAAAGCAATTAAGCATGTTTCCCAGAGCTATTACTTAAAACGTCACAAAAAGGTTGTGAATGATTGTGATGAGTGAAGAATATTGATTCTCATAAAGTCTAGTTAATATTTTTGACTGAAAAACACAGAATAAGAAAAAGTCAAAGTTCAGCTGCAAGTGAAAGACTGAATCAAAATTACAAACATTCACACACCAGCATTTATGTGTCCGTTGATAACTTTCATTCTGGTAAAGTTCCAGCCAAAACATACTTTATTTACTTAAGTCTTAAGGCAAAAATTATAAACACAACAATAAATGTTGAAGATAACAGAGACAGACTCACAATGAATACCAACTGAAAATTATGTTAATAAAAGTATTGTTTTAGAAAACATTTAATGTGGGTGTAAGGATACACACAACTGATAATTCACTGACAACAAAAGTGTTGAGGTCTGATACAAGCAAAATAAATAATATGACCTATAGCCTATAATGATATAACTGTCTTTTGGGGGAGGATGAGAGCTTCAACAGGACAAGAGAAATTATTGGATAACAAGGCTTTTTTATAATCATCAGTGAAGATTGGTCTTCAGTGGCTTTAATGAAAAAAAGAAATCCAGTTGATTATGGGAAATATGTATATATTGGTTTCTAATTTTTATCGTGGATGATATTATATCCATTTAATCTGTGTGTTCAGTACAGAGAAAGTAGATCCAACAGCACAGTAGAGTATTACTGACCCCTACTGGTGAAAGGATTAACAGTTAATAGTAAACTGAAACTAAATTTAATAAGTTTAGACAAAAACTGTAAATATTAAATTGAAGGTGAATGAAAGCATCTACTGTAGCATTTATTCTTTGTCCATCAAATCTGGTTGCAAGTTTAGTTTGTGAAAGATATTCTGCAATGTGCCGGAAACTAAAGAATTTGTGGGTGTGAAAGTTGGATGGACATCTAAACTGAGTTGTCTGCTTTATTTTGTAAAAAGCAGCTGAGGAAATAATAGCTGGTCTTCATTTGAGTTCATCTGTTAAATGTCCAGGGCTTGTGTAGATGAAGTGTTGCAGCTCTGCTTGGGTTCCCTG